GGCAGCGCCAGCTCCAGCAGCGCCGCCGCGAGCCGCAGGCCGGGCGCCGCGGGGCTGCCGCAGGGCGCGTGGGCGGGCGGCGAGCGCGCGAGCGCGCGGAGCGCCGCGGCGCGCGCGGGCGCGTGCCACAGGTGGGCGCTGACCTCGAGGCTTTCGAGGTGAGGGGCGGCGGCGGCCAGCGCGCGCAGCAGCGGCGACGGCAGAGCTTCGAAGAACTCTGGCGGCGCCGCGCCCAGATCGACGCGCGAGAGGCGCCGCAGCGCCGGAAGCGCCGAGAGGATGGAGGCCGTTGCCGCGCGGACGAGCGGCGCGGCGCGGCGCGGGTCGCCCGCCGCGCCGAGCTCCCCGAAGACGGCGAGCCGCTCCACGCCGGCGTGGCGCCGCAGCGCCAGCTCGACGCCCCCGGGGCTGGCGGCCAGTGCCGCCGCCGGCAGCGCGAGCGTCGTCGCGGCGGCGGCGGCGGCGGCGCGAGCGGCGGGAAACGCGCACGCCAGCGCAGCGCGGTCGGCGGCGTCTGGCAAACGCGCTGCGACGGCCGTCAGAACCTCGGATGGCAGCCCCTTGATGCCCGCCACACGCGCGGCGGCAGGCGTGGCAGGCAGGAAGCGCTTGCCGCCGCCGCCGGCGCAGCCGGGCAAGGGCGTGGGGATTGCGAGCGGGACAGTCCCCTGCTGCGCTGGTGGCGTGCGCGGCTCCGCATGGCTGCTGCTGCGCGATGCTGCTGTGGATCCCCGCATTTCTTCAGTGGGGCCGGAGCATGCGCTCCTGCCAACCTCGCCGCTACACCGACGGTAAGGTGACCCACGCTGCCAAGGGGCGGTCAAGCGCTGGGTGACGACGGTGGCACCTCGGGCTCGCGGTCCAGAACGCAGCCTAAAGGTGATGGCGCGCACTCTGAGGTCGGCTGACGGGCGTCGTGTGCGCCCAGTCCGCTTCATCGACGGGCGTGAGAGTTTCACCCGGAAGACGGTGTGAGGGTCAAGAGGAGGGCCAAAACGACCGTAAGAAACGACTACAATCTTAAAGTGGCTGTCAGGGGGCTTGCTGTGACGCTCCGAGTCGGCCAATCTGCGCCAAGGCCAAACGCAATTGACCTCCAAACGCGTGTGTTACTAGGCACGTCAATACACTTGTTGATTAATATTTGAAACAGCTTCAATGGAGTGGCAACTTGGGCGAAACTGCGGCGCTGCGCTTCAGCCGTACGGACAAAACCGTGGTCGGGCGTGACGCCCCGAAACGCAGTGGCGAGCTCGCGGCAACCCGCGCCGCGTGTACTGAGTAATCTGGTGCTTGATGCGGCTAAAGATGGGATATTCGTCGCACATTGCCAAGGCCAGGGGTGTTCTAGGGGGTTGTTGAACGATTATTACTGTACATGTCATCAAGCGTCGAGTTTCTCCCAACAGCCTGCACTTTGGAGACGCTCCTCGTGGAACCCACAATGGGCACTACGTCTGAGTTCCAGCAACACTACTTTACGGCTACCTCCCAGGCTGTTGAGGCGCCGCTGCGCTGCACGGCGATTTGGGGTGGGCTGAGCCTGAGCCTCCCGGGTATCACTACTCAGGTGAGCGATGTGTCATTCGTCACCCGCGCGCGCGTGCGCACGTGAGAAGGGCGGAGCGCCCACGAGTTCCGGAGGTTTGCATTGGACTCGTCGCATTGCATCAATGCAGCCCAGACGCTGCCCATGCATGGTCGCGCCAGGGCGAAAACGCGCGTGATCTGGGGCGCCGGATTCGCCAGCAGCCCCCGGGGGTTGGGGCGCGCACAACACGCCACCCGTGAGAGTTCCGTGGCGGCCGCCCAGCGAAGACGACAGGGCACACCAGATTCGTTGTTACACCTTTGACGCTTACGTGCGTTACCTGATGCCGCCTTCACTGGCACGAGACGCTTCAGAACGCGTGGCACGCAAAGCTGGCGGCGGTCGCGAACTCTCGGTTTATGGGGACAGCGACGCACGGCACGCCACACACTGCTGCAATGGGCGCCCACGCCGTCCGGCGCCCTCTCCGCACCAGCCCTATACGGCCAGCCAAAAATATGCAGGCGCACACACCCAGGCCAGCTGCGGTCCCCTCAAACGGCATTCGTGCGTCGCCACGCAGCAACCGCTGAGAGCTGCGCCACAAGCGCTGACGCACCGCGCGCTCGCATGCACCCAACAGCACCGCGACTGCGATTGCGACCGCGACCGCGACCTCGGCCGCGGCCGCCCAGCGACCAGCTGCTGCACAGCGGCCCACGCAACCAGCAGACGCCGCAGCCGTCCATGCAGCCGCCACAAAAGCTGGTGTTGCGCGGGCCCCTCAGTCGTACATGACACTGATGAGATCCCTAAAGGACTCCTGGTCCATCACCACGTCCACCAGATCGCCGCCGCCCCCCTCCTCCTCGCGGGCCTGCAGCCGCTGCATCTGCGCGCAGGGGCGTTGGAGGGCGGAAAAGAGAGAGAGAGAGAGAGGCGTCATGCCTGGCGCCAAAGGAAGGGGCCGGGTGGGGCAATGGCGAGGTAACAGCCATGCTGGACTTGGGCTGGGACGCCAAAGCATGGCACCGGTTTCCAAACCATGAGACCAGGAACTGCTGTGCAAGATATACAAAAGGCGCGGACAGTGCAGGACTCCTGAGTGTGCTGCATTCAGAGGTGCCTGGTTTTGGATATGCCAGCTTCCAAAGGCGCCTGCATTCAGGCCCTTGCCGAGTTCTGGATGGCAGGGTTCCCTGACTCACGTCATCCTCCCAGGAGCCGTCCCCAAACAGCGCCATCACCACATAATCATCAGTCAGGTCAAACTGAGGGGCACGAGTCGGAGGGCGGTGGAGCGAGAGGGTACATACATGCAGAGCTGGGGCGCCCGTGTGTCAATCGAGCGGATTGAGGGCAGTTGACGCACCGGAAGGAGGCGCACAGATAAGTGTGCAAAGGCTGTCAAGCCCGCTCCCGCGCTTGTATGGCCCTCAGTGCATTCGAGCCAAGGAACCCTCTCTACGCACCTGCTGCACGTTGCTGTTGGTGATGTAGAACACAGCCCCACTGCCCTCGTCACGCAGCAGCACAGTGCCTGGGACCTTGGCATCAAGCCGCACCTGGGAGCGGCGTGTGAGTATGAGTGTGTGTGTGTGTGTGTGTGTGTGTGTGTGTGTGTGTGTGTGTGTGTGTGTGAGTGTGCGCGTACGCGCACGTGCGTTTGTATGCGCATGTGCACATCGGTGTGTGTGTGTGTGGGGCGGGGGGTTGCAGGTACAAGCGGGCGCTCCCTCAACTGCTGGTTATGTCTCGGATTTGCGGCTGTGAGAATGCCACAAACCCCAACGCCCCCGCCCGCAGCTGCGCAAGGGCGGCGCACTCTGCACGCACCTCCATCCAGCCGCCGTTGCGCGCCTGCACCCACACGTGTCCATCGTACTCACGCCGGAACCCGCCCTCATCGCGCAACGCATCTTGGTTCGGCGGGGGTGTTGCAAGTGCACGCGTGTGTGCGTCTGGGCGTGCGCTTTTGATGTAAGCAGGGTCCAGGCACTTTTTGGAACGCCAACAGTGACGTTGAAGTGGCACAGTGGCTGCTGATGGCTGCTGGGACACCACAATGCAATGATCATGCTATGTCTCCCCAGAATGGAATGCCACGGTACTCGGTGCCGCACCTATAGCTGACCGCTCCTCCCGGCTGACCCTGCTGCTGCCGCTCTGGCCCCCACTGCCGCCGCCCAGCACAGCTACCAGGCCCGCCACTGCCGCAGCGCCGCCTCCTGCGTACAGAAGAAGGCTGCGCCGGCTCTGCTCAGGCGCCGGCGGCGGCGGTGGTGGCGGTGGCGGCGGCGGTGGCGGGGCCGTCTGCGAGGCAGCATGTTCAGGGCAGTTGGGCGGACTTTCAGGGAAGTGCGGCGGCAGCAGCGGGAGCGAAGCACGGCGTCCATGGCGTGACGGCCTCTGCAATGGCCATGCGACAGCTCAGCAGCCGTGTAACCTAGTCAATAAATTCCTGTGTATTAGACTTTACTCACGAAGCACCCACCTGATCAGCGACAGCTCGTGTTGACGTGGGGCGGCCAGATCGGTGGCCCCAGGCGCTCGCTTTCCGCCTAGCTAGTCCATGCGTTGTGATAAAAGTTCTACTGTCACAGCTTTTACGAAGGAAGGACGCCCTCATTGCGTGCGTTCTGCTCTTGACGCCTGTTTTGACGCTGAATGAAGCGCTGGTGGCTGTCCGGATGTTTAGTGTATTCTACAATAGCGTAGAAGGGGGCATGAAGCGATGGGGCCACACCCCTGGTATGTCAGCATGTCACTGTCGCTTGTCACCAGGTGACAGCTGCTCTGCATTGACCTGACCTGGACACATGTGCAGTTGGTTTGCGGCAAGGTTGATGCTGATGCGGGATAGTTGCTCTTCAAAAGTTTCATGCTGGCAAAAGGTTTATTGCCAATCATTCCCTACAAGCCACACGGGGCCACAGGGATTGGTGGGTTGGATGCGAAAGCGAGGGTCACAGTCCTTGACCAACGCCATGCAAGCCACCGCACACATTCCCCCATCTCACAACGTTGAAGGATGGTGATAATGTCTTGACACTTAGACAAAGATCTGGTACCGGACTCAAGAGGCAACAGCAGAGGCGGACGCACCAGAGGAACCATCACCGTCCCTTGGGCGGTGGCCTTGCCCAACCCCGCACAGCCCCCCCTCTCTCCAACACACACACACACACACACACACACACACACACACACACACACACACACACACACACACACACACACACACACACACACACACACACACACA